GGTTATTTCAGCAGGCAGGACTGGCCTAGGGGTATTTTAAAGGGGTTTTAAATTAAATTTTTAGTAGAAGCGGCCAAATTTAAATAGTTATTTTTAATCTTTTTAAATTTTGTATTGTATCACTGTTTTAAACTGGCTGTAAGCCGCCCTGAGTCCTCCGGGAGAAGGGCGGGGTATAAATTTAATAAAATCTCTAAAAAAAAAAAATCAGCTTGTTTGATCCGAGGCCGGATACGGTGTTGCACCCCTCTGGTAGATTGAAGGGGGGTGTCTAGCCATCTGTGGAGTTCCTCCCCAGGCCTTGGGGGGTCACGGCTGATACTGAGGAGAAGTCAGAGCTCTGTGATTCCCTCTTCAAGGTAGTAGATGTCATACTCAGGGATGTAATCAGGATCGATGTGGTCAATACAAAAATCTTGCACCCCAGGGCAGGCATAATGTTGCAGGGCACAGGCGTTGCACCAAAAACAGCACTGACAGCCGCACTGGCAAATGCAGTGGTCACATCTACTGCTGTTCTGTGGATGGCGTGACAGGAGGTGGTGCAAAGTAGGGCCGGACGCAGCGACCAGGGACCCACAAGACTTTTTCAGGCAGTTGGACTGCTGCGTAGCCTCTTCCCCAAGTGATGAGGTCAGCAGGCCCTTTACCTGTGGGCAGGGAAGAGAAAGGGAGGGAGAAGAAAAACACCTCTCGGCTGCAGAGGTAGGCAGGGTGCCAGTTAAGTTTTCAAGGTATCTTGCACTGCTGGGAGACCAGGGGCATTTTTCCCCTGTTGTCTGATGTACCGGTCGAGGGCTGTTTTTATGGAATTCCAAATTTATGAGTAATGTTCCACCGCCTGCAGAAGTCTGCAAATGCAGCACTGGTGCAGGCGGGGCCATTATCTGTTTGTAGTTTTTTGGGGCATCCCAGCGATGCAAAGGTCCGAATACAATGATTGATTACATGTTTAGTGGCTTCTCCCCTTTGAGGGGTGGCTATGATGAAGCCTGAGAAGGTGTCCACTGAGACATGCAAAAATTTCCATGGAGCAAAGGATGGATATTGAGTAACATCCATTTGCCAAAGTTGACAGGCCACTGTTCCTCTGGGGTTAACCCTCATTGGAAGAGAGTGACCTTGGCGGCTGCAGGTAGGGCATTGTGGTAGTATGGCAGATGCCTCAGCAGCCGTTAAACCAAATTGTTTCATGAGCGCCTTTTTATTTTGATGAAAATAAGCATGACCCTCCAAAGGAGACTGGGGGGAGAGAGACAGAACAGATAGTGAGATAGTAGCAAAGGCAGCCACAGCTGCAGCATCGGCCACATCATTGCCTTTATGAAGTATTCCAGGAAGAGGCTGGTGGCTTCAAATGTGTGAAACAAGGAAAGGAAAATGTCGAGCAGAAATAAGTGTAGAGAGAGCTAACAATTTGAGTGACATACAGACTGTCCAGGATGAGGTTAAAAGGTTCGTCAGAAAAGTGTTGAAAAGCCAAGATAGAAGCAAAAAGTTCTACTCTTTGGGCCATATTTTTTACTGTCATCAGCAAACACTGTGATGGCATCTGGAATAGGATGAGGTCGGAAATGTGATTGCCAAGCAAAAGGTAAAGTTTTGAGAAGTTGCAAGATGTCATTAATTTGTTCCACTGTGGCAAGTGCTCCAGATGGAACTACAATGAAAATTTTCAGGTTGTTTTCCTTTGGTCACTAAATCAAATAATGGACTGAGCAAATGTGTAGGCAAAGAAGATGCCTAACAATTGCTATAAATTGAACGACACTGATTAAAAACTCCTTTTTTACATTTTGGATAAATTGTCTTTGGTTTGGTTGACTGAATAAACTGCCCTTAATAGGCCCCTCCCCCAGGGGGGGCGGCATTGTGATTAAAAATGGCCGGGTTTACCACAGTTGAAACAATTTCCGGCCGGGTGGGGC